CTCTTCTTCCCCATCTACTATTTTACTCACTATGTGCAGATTACATTTCCCATGGGAGCTCATTAGTGCTGCTCTTTGCTCAGCATGGGGAAATCTTTTGGAGTTGTCTTTACTCCCAGCTGATAAAAATTGCTTTTTGTTTCTTCTCACGACTCACTGCCCATCGCTCCCCGGTTCTGAAGTGGCATTTTGAGAAAGGCAAAGCTTTTGGACCAAAGAAACCCCACCATTCTTCTAACCTTGATGCTGCTGTTGCTGAAGGAACGAGCTGTCAAGATCTGCGATCCAAGCCCGCAGCCAAGACACAGGGAAAGATTGTTCCTTACCAGACTAACAGGTTAAACCCAGGAATTCTCGTTCCTTGTCAGAGCTAACAAGGAGTTATTGCAGTTATAACGTTTTAGTTGTAATTTCTGTTTTACAGAGGTCAAATATATAAAGCTAGAGGACACAGCCTCCCTCGCCCTCACTTTTAAAATGCTGCACTCCAGAGTGACACAATGCACGGCTACACCTCCTTAATTGGTTCTTTTGTTCCAAATTTCTGTTGGCTGATCTGGTATTAGTGAAAAAAAGCATAAGTCCCTGAACACTGTGAAATAAGCCAGCTTAGTTAAGCAGGTACTACACATAAAAAACAAGGCATAACAACACTGAACTCGGTGTGATTAAGTGTCTGACCACCCGAGTGCTGCCAACAGTGCAGCTTCAGTACATCACAATTTAGAATTTTGATTTAAAGGCAGATCTTAAAGTTTTGCAGCATGGGGACTGAAAAGGGTAAAATATGAGAAAAATACACACAGCTTGCCAGTGGCTTAAGGTAGAAAACCTGCTCTGGTATCTCAGAATCTAATACTGTCCCAGAAATCAATATTCTACAAATTTTACAAACTTCTCTGAAATAGATTTATATTAGGAAAAAAAATTTTCATTCACACAATGGAGTGAGGAAGCCAACGAATCTGCATAAATCCCCAGACCTTCCAAAATCCACTCTTTCCCAAACATTCCAATTATCCAGAAGTTTCACCCCAAAGAGGGTGAAGAAGCAGCCACTCTGCCAGTAACTTCAAACAAATCTGGGCCCACTACACAGCACGTGCAAGTCATTAATTAGAAAATTACTTGCCATCCAGGTGTAGACAATGATCTGATTTGTTGTTTCTTTGGCCTAATGACTCCCACACCCTCAAGGTTTATTTGGAATTCCACTAAACACTGTCTCAACAAAGTGCTTTCAGCTGCAAGAATCCCAGCGTTCGTTTTCTCTGCCACCAAGTGCTTTCAGCTGAAACAGGTTGTTACAGGAGAGCCAAGAGCAGCAGGAACAGCTCCTACTACATCAGTGATTTCTAACTTCTTAGGAGGGTTTGCAGATCACTAACTTCCAGGGAGGTGCAGAGCTCTCCTAGAGAGTCAGATGTTATCAATAATCAACTTGCTCAAGTTATAATTTGCAGACCCACAGAGCAGGGCACAGAAATCAAAGTAGATATAAATGATGGAAAGAAGCTCCTAGTAATATCTGTATAAATTGATGTATCATTTACTGATAAAATTTACTTTTTTCCTATTCTCACTTCACAGATGGTGAGGGGGGGAAATAATCAAGGAGGCTGATTGCAATATGTATTGCTGCCCAAGGCAATGCATTAATAATCTAAAAATACCTGGAGAATGTATATTTGGTAAAACAAGTATTTACACCTCTTTCCCACTGTCTTCATTATTGAAACCACAGCAAAACACCAGATCCTACTGATTTAGCAGCAGTTGGACATTAGAAATGCATTTGGTGAAGACTTTACTGACTGTCTGTTGTCATGGTAACATCCCAGGTAAAAATAATTTCTCGAATAACTTATAAACAGACAGATGGCATAAAACCTCCTACGCTCTCCAAATTGAAGGAGATTCAGTAAAAGACAGTCAAAGACAGTGTTGATGCCAGTTCTGTGAAGTCCTGCATGTTGAAGAAGGCACATCTCCAAGGTCTTGCTTGTGCTGGCAGTAACTCACCTCAGAACATGAACAAAAGGGAGATCAGGGACGTTACAGGAAGTGATGAGACACAAGTCAAGTCAGCACTCTTGTGTAGGCTCTCCAGAGGGATTTCAAAGGCGCCCTGAAATGATGATCCTACATAAAATAAGGAAATTAATCCCATACTGTAACAGGGAACAAAAGCTTTTCTTGGAATTGCTGAAGCCCTGCCCTGCTTATCCTCTGGCAAGGAAATGAGAAATATCACAGACTGCGCTCACGTTGCACGTGCAACACACATCAGTGCATCTGCAATATGCAATTTTAAAGCTTTTTTTTTTTTTTCAACATAAGCTTTCTGAAGACAGGAAAGCTGCAAAATCAGTAACATTCATGCCCAAGACAATCCCCTTCACTCTTACACTAGGACAAAGCACCAACACATGTGAACTGGAAGTTGTACTCAGGATGATGTCACCTATGAAACAGCCCATTGGACTGAACCACGTTCCTCGTGAAATCCAAAATCTCCCTCTGCCAAGTCACACCCCAATTAAGTCATTTCAACATTCTGACTCAACTCTCTTAATTCTAAAAATAGGCTAAACAAGAGCTGTTCCTTCTCAAAGGAGCTGTGGACAAGGCAGGGATCACAGGAACAGCCACAGCTACACTCGCACTATTCTTGGGCAGGATCATAAATTCCAATTAAAAACCTGCACTTTCCCAAAAATAGTGAACAGCTTTCTCCTGAAAAGAGCAGATGCTGAGCACTGTTGTCAGAAAAAGCCAGAGCTTTTTCCAAGGGAAACAGATTGTTCAACATAAAGAATTCAAAGCAGCTGAGAGCCCAGGAAAAGGAGCATTAGATCAAAACACACTTCTCCCCATTAGACATTGTTTGTGCTCCATTCTTGCATTTATCTGCTATTTTAGCTGAGCTTCCCTTGCTCCTCAGTTACTTTTCTCAATAGGTGCACAAGAAAAGGGCAGTAACACCACAACAATTGTTTTTCTTTTGATAGTTTTGTGCTATCTCTGCCTACAAGTTTTTTAATGGCCACATTTACTGGAATTTCCATCTTCTCTGGCCAAATAAAACCCCTCATTATTAAAGAGGAAAAGCAAAGACACATTGTCACAACTTGCCCATGCTCTCTAGTGCACTGTGGTCAGTCTAATGCCAATAAATAAATACTGCTCTCTTTTTCACTGAGATCTCACTAACATCTTTGAGTAAATTAATACCTTTCAGTTCTCCAAAGAAAAATCAAGTATTTTGAGAAGAAACACTCATATCTTTTAGTATCTGTATTTTTACAGTACTGTAAAAGGGTGAAAGTGAAAAAATAGAATTTTAAATTTTACATCCCCCATTTCCACGTCCCAAGAATGAGTGAGGTAAAAAAACTCCCATGAAGTCTGGCCTTATGATGTGTTATGGCAGAGAAGTAATCTTGAATATGAGCTTATTTTTGTCTGTCTGTTTCTGTCCTAATATCTCAGTGTAGGTTTAACTTGATCATTTTCTCTACAAGCTTAAGTCACTTTAAACCATCATTCACAGCAACACACATAATCTCCATAAAGGTCAGTTATTTAGTACTATTATTTTGGTGTGACTACCTGCAAACGGATTTTTTTTCCCCTCAGTGGTGTTAAGTTCACAGCCTCAGAGCAGTGCAATGTGCTGCCATCACCAACCAGCAACTGAGCCAGAGAAATAATTTCATTTAACTCTGTAATCAGCATTTGGTGCTACCAGCTCCATTTGGCTTAAAAGTAGAAGGCAGCAGTGCTACTGTCACACCCAAACTCTAAAAACATCAAGCAAAAGCAAGTCATTTAAGGAGTGAATTTAAGCACAGTTCCAAAACCATGCAGGCACGTTCCTTTAGAACTCTTACTTGGCCTAAATAAAGAATAAGTAAGGCCTGTGACATGAAGTTATTCCAAAAGAGACATTGGAAGAATGCTTCTTCCCCCTCACAGTGTAATTTGAACACTGCAAACCAAAAAAAAAAGCGAGTCATCTCTTAAGGACCAGCAGCCAGTTCAGTTATCTGAGCACCCAACGTGGTCGTAACGAAGGGGATTATTTTACCCACTGTTAAATCTTCTCCCACTTAAATCAGATAGTGCTGCACAGCACTGCAGCATCAGGAAGAAATCCCTGCATGTTGAAGCTGTTATGAGTGTTTTGTTACCCACAAAGCCTGACAGCTGAAACTTCTTGTTTCCTTTAATACAGTCAAACCAGTTTCAGCTAAAGGCTTCCAGTTTGTTGCCTTTTTTTCTTTTTTTTTCTTTTTTTTTTTTTGTGTGTTTTTTTAAAATTTACCTGAAGTCTATGGTATATCACACTGCAGAGGTTCTTTTGATCTGAAAAAAAAACTAATAAAGTTGTGCCACTAACTCTCCTCTTTAGGGTCCAGATGGAGCTGAGTTCTTTTGGCTCTGGAATCACCAGTGTAAGTGTTCTGACATAACCACTGAAACAAACAGCAGGTGCTTTTATTAGATGGCAACATGTTTATAAAAATGCAGTATTGCTTCAATAAGTCAGTTAAAAAAAGATATCAAATCAAATTACTAAAGTTAGAGCTGGCAAATACAGCCAACTGCTGGAAAAGAAACTGGTCAGAGCTTTAGTTGGATTTGAGAAGTTCCTTTCTCACCCTGGTGACCCCATGGCTGTGCTGCTGCCTCCTGAAGGCTGCAGGACAACTTCCAATCCTTTCTTCAGCTTCTGTACCACACAAGGAGAAAGGGAAGCACAAGTGACAGCCACTGGACATGCACAGAGTTCCTTGGAGGAACAGGAACAGGCAAAACAGTTAAATGTTCTCTGTAGAGTCCTGCAAAACCCTTCTGCAACCATCAGGTGTGCTGAGAGCAAACATCTGAGTTATTCAATCAAACCACTTCTCAGGTTAGACTTAATTCACCAGTCAGCATAAAGGGGGATTGTAACAGAGGAAGAAGGCAGGGAAAAAATGAAAATGACATCAAGCTTGCTAAATATGTATTGTTTATTAAGGCTTGTATTCTCCTAGAGGAAAAAGTTAATCTGATGCTGTCCATTACCCCTTACAGGCAGTAACAGTCCAGAGACAGAGTTATACGTTCTAAATACAAGTCTAAATGATACAGATTAAACTTTATTTAAATTGGAGGTCCTTTTGGAGTAAATAGTATTCAGAAGATACTTGCTTTCTAATATAGTAAAAGATCCTCTACAATAAACACGTGCAGATTCAGTGTGCTAGAGCAGCGGACATGAGCACCATTTCCATGCTTAATTGGAACTCCAGTTGGTGACAGGTTCTCCGACGGTCCCCTCACTCCACAAAAACATGACAGCAAATTCAGTTTCTTAAAACAGGTTTTTTTTTTACTCATCCAACAGAAAAAAAAAAAAAAAAATTAGACATACACACCGTCAATTTTAAACATCTGAGGCATAATCCATCATATTATCCGTACTATTAGTTCCTACGTTAAAGCTCAGCATTATTGGTATAAAAACTTTAAATGGCATTAGGATTTGGGGGGCTGGGAGGGAGTAATGAAGGGAAGGATTAAAAATGGTCTGCAAGTTAACTAATAACACCTGAAAGCTGAAACAGGTTTAAACACATTGTTTAAAACCCCTGCAATGTCGATAGCATCACATTATTATTTAATTAAGCTACAAAAACCGTAAAGCAGAATTATGGCTGAGAGAAAGCATCTCGCTCACCCTCGGCAGGATATGGAATAACAGATGCACACTGAAGCACTGGTTAACAGAATGTGAAAGGGAAATATTTTCCAGAGAAACAGTTTCACTGACAATTTGATTTTCTACTAGACAGAAAAAACCAACATGGCGCATCAGCAGTTTTAAAAGTGTAATTGTACAGATAAATAAAGAGGCAGAGCAGCTGCACAGAGTGATCAGAAATTAAGGTTTGGGGGTTTTTTTCCATTTCAAAATTCTGAAGTGCAGTATCTTAAGAGGTTTTTCAAATGACAAAAAAAAAAAATAAAAAAAAAAATCAATGCATGGTTTCTTACTTCCGCCATGAAGAAAAGGGTTTGGGAGGAGGATAAAGGAAGATTTGTCATGTATTTTCCATAATCTCTATATCTGGCTAGGAACATAATTCGTGCCAAAATAAAGTCTTTGGGAAGCACTGACACTTTAGTATGCTCATGTATAGGTCCACATTAGGTTAATATAACTGTTTATCAACTTAAAAAAATAAAAACAGACACACCTTTATTAATGATTTCTACAGAATTTTACATAGAAAAAAAAGATACAAATTAATGCAGATCCACTTGGGCAAAAATAAACTACAATGTACTTAAAGATGTGACAACTTAATTTCCCCTGCACGAGAAGATATATTGGAGCTGAAAGCTTTAGTTTGTCCTGATGCCAGGATACAGCACCAGTTATACTTAATTTTGTTTCTCATAGTCGAATTTAATATCAGTTCTAGTATATATATCAAACTGTATATGTTTATTCTTATTGTTTGTTTCGATTCTGACGTTCCTGCAAAGAGAAAAAAGTTAAGATTTTAGTCAAATGAACAAGCAAAAAGTTTTTAGTAGTTTTAACAGCACTAACGTGATCCCAGATAATTACACACTCAAAACAATGCTGCTACATTTTATAAATATATTGTTTATACCCCAAAAGCCCAAGGACTTGATAATTTAATGTTTAAGTGCAGCCTCAAGTGGAACATCTGAATGAATACCTGCACAGCCACTTCAACAAACAGCAGATGAAGGTCACTGAGAGAAATATATGAAATATCAACACTCCTAAAGAGAAACAGGATCTGCAATATTCCACTTTCTGGATTATTTTAGCTACTGCAGTAGTAGCACAACCAATACACGAGCAGAAAGCAGATGGCAGATTAGTGAACTCCACAGAACCAGTATAATTTTGAAGCACTCAAATGACTTTGGAGTTTAGTCACACTCAGTAAAAGCAGCAATTTGAGCTGTCTAGAAATTCTGTTCCTAATTCTTCCTATCTGCTCAACTGTTCTGGGAGGCACTGGGAAATACTTGACAAGCTGGGGGAAAAAAAATATATCAGGTAGAAGACAAATTATGTGCTTTTGCATGGTCTGATAAAACCCATCATGGCTGGACTGAACCACCCAAGAGTGTCCCAAACCATTCCAGTACAGCAGCTGGGGGATCTCTGAGCTTCTCTCGAAAGTTTGTGCTAATCACAAATCCTGAAAACAGATAAAGGCCAGCTAAGGGTACCTGCAGGTAAATCTTGGCTAAGGGAGCCTGTGCTCTGCCTGCAGCAAACAGGGAGGCCTTTGGAGCAGTGTCTGCACAGGGATTACACAGACACACTGAGAATGCCTCAACAAAACCAGGGGGGAATTGTTCACTGTTTCAGGAGCCCCACAAGCTGCAGAAAATGCCACAGACAGCAGGACAAAAACGTGCTGCTGTATTCTTTAGTGCTGTGCATTCTCCAGCTAAGGCACCAGCTAAGGCAGACTGAACAGAAAGGGCCCAGCCTTCCCGTTTCCCACCCCATCCCAACGCTGTCCAGAACAGACTGTACAGTGCAGAACTGGCATGGAAAGACACAGCTCTGCAAAAGCATCAATATGGCACCAAATCCTATTTCAAGCAAGGAAATTGTGAACTAGCCCAAGCAGCAACAACAGCCAACTCCTAAACTAACGCCTTCAGATTCTACTTGTTTTGTGGAATCCTTCTGCATAAAATTCCTCTGAGAATTGTTTCTGTTGCGATATAAAGCTTATTTGCAAATATACCAAACATTATAAATGTAACAGACTGCATTTGCTGCTTCAGCTGGTCACAGCATAAAAATCAGAAGATTTTAAAAAATGGAATATACTGACTTCTGCCTCCAGGCAGAATATTAATATTTCAATATTCATAATAAAATTAAATCAACAAGATCCAGTATGAATTCTTAATCTATGATTTAAGGTAGAAGTAAGAAATAGCAAAACTGTTTTACCAATTCAACAAAACAGACTGTGTAAAGTGGCAGAATTAATTTTAAAAATCTATATTCCTCCTGCCTTTTAACTGCTGACTATGATGAACTGTCAAGGAAAGACATTTCTTAGTGGCAAAGCATCAGAACGTATTAGGTGTTGAATGTTCTTAATAAAAGGAGCTTATGTCTGCCTGACATTTCAAACAAAAGGTAGTTAGAAAGAATCTAGAACTGAATCGTATCAGCTCGTTTTCAGGCTTCAAAAAAAAAAGTAATTGTTCCATCCTACCTCCATTTCTAAGGTGGCACATCCCCTTTAACTCCACTGCCCTACCATGCTCAGCAGCCCATTCTTGCCCATTCCCACCTCACGTAACGTTTTAGTCTCCTGTGTAGTCACCCGCTGACCGTCGTAAGTCGACTTGCTTTAAAAACAGAAGGTTTACATTCTCATGGACTAGTCCCACATAAACAGAGACAGGCTGGCACCTGAGACTTCTACCTGGTACCTAGAGAGTATGCTCATGGCATTCAGAAACTCAGCTCAGGCTTTATAATTCAGTAAAAAGCGCTATTTACTGAGCAAGTTCTCAAGCAGTTCCTCCTACCTTGCTGCTTGCTTTCTCTCTTGGGGGCTAATCTGAGTCTTCCTCTTTACCAGTGTCTGAAACCACATAAACTGATGCAACAATTCTTCGTGCTCCTGAGCATGGCTGCTTTTTAGAAGCTCTAACTCTCAAATTCTCTTCCTTACTGCTATTTAGCACTACTGCAAGCAAGAACAAACAGTTTTGTAAGCAACTAACAAAGCTTTGCTCGTTTTGGTTCTGAAGATCCGGAGCCTTCACAGCTTCTCTTCTCCAGTGGAATTCTCCAGTATCTCACAGGAGAGCTCCTGTTGCATTTCTCCTTCGTGCCACTAATGTATATGGGTCTTCAGACACAGGGAAAATGGGTTTTCACATAACTTGCAGAAGTTTCCATCTTGGAGACACTCATCCCTGTCAAACTTCTGTTCTCTTCACCTCAGTCTAAAATATCTTCACCCTTCCTACTAAACTTAGTCAAAGTCAACAGGATCAAAGTATTCATCTTCAGACACAAAAATAGAAATGTTTTCTTTATATCAGGAACATGGTATTAATCTTATAATATAAATGGTTTTTAGCTAGAGCTTTGGAGGAGGGACAATATTCCATCCTTAAAAGTTCTATTTCAATGAGTGTGTTCACAGAAAGCTCACTGAGAGGAATCACAGTGTGCTAGAAGAAAAGGAGTATTTCCAAGTGCCAACAACCAGTCAACACTTTTCAGTATTTAATCACCTAAAGAAGAACTGGTAATCTTGGAGCTTTCTGAGGCTATGCAGCTCAAGCTTCAAGGAGCAGACCTTGGAATAGCTGAGTGCCTTGACCCAGATCAGAGGTGACAGCACAGCAACCCAGTACAGGAACTGTGACCATGTGCTTAGGTACAGATCTGTGAGGACCAGCTGCTGACAGCTGATCTGTCATCTGCCCTACCATGAGATGCAAATGAAATTACCAAAATCTACAACAAGTTTATTGCCTTTACAAGCTTTTTAAGATAAACTTAACTTTGTTAAGACTGTGCAAGCATGTTTTTAGGGATTGTTAATAATTAACACCACATTATACTGTATTTTCTTTTGAAGAAGCTCTTACATGTCACAACTTTTTTACATTTTCAGAGCATGAGTTCAACCATGGAAGCTGCCCTCTGTGGACAATGCAAGAGCCCTGGAACTGACTGAAAAAGGCTGGGAGGGTCAGGAGAGATTTCAGGTCACTCACTGTTTTGCTATTTCATTCCAGACCCCAATATCCTTCTATTACTCCTTTCCCAGGTTCTGGGTCAAAAGATCGGGCTTAAATATTTTATTACTAGGGCAAATCAAAAGCTGGACTTACATCCCAGCATGACCAAATCTTCCCTCAATTCCAGTTACTGCAGCACTGGTACTGGTGATGGATCTTTGGCACTTCAATGACTTTCCCCCGGCACTGCAGCTGCCAAACCCTCCCCTGCTCACTGGGCACTAACACAGAGGTTCCTGCAGTTCAGCTCACCCCACTGCAGCTGGCTCTGCACATCAGCTATGGAAATGCTGGTTAGCAACAAACTGGTACCATCTACAGAACTCAAATGCCAGTGCAGGGCACTGATTATGTCATTGTTCCCTATGAAATATTTGTGTGTTAATGACACTATGGCGTTCAAGTGCTCCCTGTGCAGATTTTTAAGATCTCTGGCCTTTTGTAATCACGACAGTGGTGAAACAGAGGCACAAAATTTCAACAAGTAATTAATTTTACAGTTTAAAGAGAGTATAATGAATAAAATCAGTAATTTGAGAATCCATTAAGATGGCACATAGACAACCAACTATCTGAAAATGTCAATCAGGTCATAAGATATCTTAACTGGCAATAAGAGTCTTCAAAAATTATTGTGAGAGGAACATTAACTTTGTTTAACAGTAAGGCTTTAACTTCAATAGCACAAACTTCTTCATGATAAAAACTTAAAAGTGTGCGTGTACATCCTGCAAAAAAACTCTTCTAGTAATCAGCTGGACTTCTAAAATTCATTTAGTCAATGAAGGGGAAAAATACTGACTTTTCCAGGAAATAGTTTTAGAGAGTGCAACCTGACAAGCAGCGTCTTAGTTTTCATTCCCTCCCTGCTGATCTGCTTTCCCTCTCTAGCACTGTTACCTTCCTCACTTTTCTAAGCTATTTGGAGGTATCTAAGAAATATTAAATTAAGACTTCATAGTTTATTTTGTGACCGTGTCATACAAGCTAGAGCCTTGGTTTTAAATGAGGAAGAAAAATGTATTACTTTGAAAAAACGATCCTGTTGTATAGCAAGCAGTGATGTGGTAAGAATATGTTTCAGCACTTGAACTGAAAGTGGTAATTAGCTGTGTTTATTAAACAAACCCAAAACGGGATCAGCACTGAGCTACTACAAAGTCAAGGAATTTCAGTGTTCAGCATGCCACCACCAGGATCCTCCTCGGGTCAGTAAGTTATCTGTGCAAGAGCAGAACTCTCACTTTCCCCATACTCTCACTCCTTAAACATACACACACTGTTCTCCCCTCCAGACTTGGCAGCAAATTCCAGGGAGACTCAGCATTATTAAAAACCCAAACCAATCCCACCCTCTACACCATAAACACTGGACAGAGGATCCCAGCCCACCTCACTTAGTCAACACTCTCTCCTATGTAAGTGAACCTCTCCAAGACACAGGTTGCATTAAATATTGAACTGCTGATTGTCTCCTGAAGGAATGAAGTGTTCAAGCAAAGGCTTTTACGTTTTACCTTGTGAAACCCCATGGGGAGTACACAAGAAAAACTTCCAATTTTAAGCTGTCCTTCCCTGCTGTGCTGAGGTCAGCTATGCACATCTATCACAGCCAGGAAAAGTTCAGCTAAAAAGTTTCTAAGATGCTGAACTCTTTTCCTCTCATACTTCAAGGGTACATTATATGAAGACAGTTTAAAGCAATTTTAAATGGCAATAAAAACTTTAAAATGGCAATCTTAAAATTTAAGCTGCAGGAACATGCATTAAGTCTTTGCTTTAAAAACATCCTGAAGCAAGTGCAAACTGCACTGAACCAAACCTGTCAAACAAATGCTGCATCTGCAATGCTACACAAAAAAGGTCTGGGAAACACTATCAACATCAAGCAAATTTAAGTTTTACTTAGGTAGTAACTACACACCCCAACACCTATTATTTTGTCAGGCCATTACTTCTAGAGTGCCTAATTAGAGAAAGGCATTCTTGAAGCTGAGGTCATGGGATACAGAGGGACAGAGGTCTCTCGTGGTAGATTTAGAGCCATGAAAGTGTATGGAAATCTTTACTACACTCTCCCACTTACTGCCCAAACTTCTCTAAGGCTCCACTCAAAACTTCAAGAATTAGTAGACAGATTAAACCTGGGAACTGAAAACCTTTATTTATCCAAATAATACATGTGACTTCAGCAGCAGAAATGCAATCTTTCTAGCACTATTCCAGCAATTTTATGCAACTCTTTCTTTTCCAGAGAGATCAACTGAACAAACAAAATCAGGTTTCTTGCTTTTAAAGGTGATGTACAAGTTTCAAATACCAGTACAGGTATCAATTCTGATATCCCAGTTCCAGTCAAACAGCGTTAAAACACCCCATAGTTAAGGCAAAAAACTTAAGTGCAATCACTGGCAGAATCCAATTCTGAAACAGAAACTATTTTCTAGTTTATTAACCATTTTAAGATAAAAAAATAAATCAAACTCCAATAAACTGGACATCAAGTCCTTTACCTGCATTACTGCTCAGGTTCTGCTTCGAAACTCATCAGCTACGAAACTTTTCACAGACAGATTTGCATCAGTTTTTTTTTTGTGTCGTTAAACACACATGAAACCATCGAGACATATTAAAAACATTTCAAATTCCTACTTACATTTTTCCACCATAGCAGCCTTCACATTTCATTTTCCCCATATCTGTGTATAAAATAAATTTTTTAATAAGTTTACCTTCCGCACCACCTCCTCCTCTTCCTGGCGCTTTTCATAATGAGAAAAGTCATCAAAGATGGAGGTCGTGTGCTTGTAAGTAGCAATAATTTTAAGCACTTGTTTTGCTTTTTCTAAGGGCACCTCCTGTGTATCACGGGAGTTTGTAACGGGTTTGTTGTCATTGTTCTCCAGCCTGATGTGTCGGAGTTGGTTGTTGGGCACATCCTTCACAAAGATCCACTTGACATCAAATTTCCCCTTCCACTTGTCCTGAGACCAGACACCCGCACTGGTGCCATAGTCCACAGGTGATTTCATCTCTGCAACTCCACAGAAGTGTCCACTGCCATTGACACTGAACAGCAAGTAGACTGGACCCTTGCTGTTCATGGACCGAAAAGCGCTGTCCAGGCGTTTGTTGCCGTGCTCTGTGCTACACCAAATAGAATACTTAATGGAACGATGAATATCATCCTCAGAATAGCTCTTTATTATGAACACGCGTCCATTTTTAAGGTTCCATTCGAAATCTTTAGGGTTATAGCTGTGAGCAGCTTTCAGTTTTTCCAGGACAGGATGGGACTCTCCGCTGGGGACAGGGTTGGGCTGGGTGCTGCCAGCTGAGCTGCTGTCGGTCCCAGTTCCTCCACTTTGGCCAAAAGCTGCGTTTCTGTTGCGAGGAGCCACCCAGCGATTTTGGGGTGGCTGCTGAGGGGCCTGATACTGCGGCTGAGTCAATGGAGGAGGCTGAGCTGGAACAGGCTGAACAATTGGTTGCTGTGGCTGTGGAACAGACTGAGGAGAAGGTATCTGTTGGGGGGCAGGAACTTTTGCCACAGGACCCTTATTGTCCCAGGTACCTATGTCCATATTATGCTTTATAGGGGGAGGAGGCAACGCTCCTCCGATTACAGGCCCAGTTTTTGTTTTCATTTTAGGCTGTGGTTTCGCAGGCTTACTGGCAATAGCAGCCCAAGAGGTTGGTTTAGATACTGGCAGGTTTACATTAGATCCATTACCAGAGAGGGCACCTGTCATCCCGGCACTGTTAACAACAGAACCTACTGTTTTCACCGCAGAAGTTGTAACATCTCCACCAATCTTAAGTCCAACCATTCCCTGTTCAATACTGTTCATCCCAGGAGCTTTATTTAAAGTATCATTATGAAATCCTGTTTGTCCATCCACAATGGTACCACCCAGTGAACTGGGTGGGTAGCTGTAACTGCTCCCATATGCTGAACTTTGAGTCTGCTGTCCTTGGGACCCGCTTGTTCCCCAAGCTGAGAAGGCAGGATTTTCAGGGAAAAAGTTAAACCGGTGTTGATAGATATTATTTCCCAGACCCCCAGGCTGTCCAAAAACAGCATCGTGCATAAAATGATGATCTCCATTACTGAGCTGTCCATAGGTGGTGAGATAAGGGATAGGAGGATCTCCTCCTGTAGACCATGGTGCTTCACTGAGAGAATAGGGGAACCCAATAGATGGTGGATAATAACTGGACAGATAAGGATCAGTCATTGATGGATAGCTACTGTTCTGTTAAAGAAAAAAAAAGTCACCAGATAAATAAACCCTTCATTTATAGGTAGCCACAACACTGTTCATCACCAAAAAGAAAAGAAAAATAAGAGACAAGGTAATGTAATTCCTAATTACAGATTTTAGTTGACACTCCAAGAAAGATTTAGGGCTAGAATGGAATATCTCAGCGTTTATAATATACCCCAGAACTACTGGCTCACAGATTTTGCAACCATGTAATCTTAGTTACAGCACTTAAGGTTATTTAGTAGTTGATATCCCAAAGGATTCCAGGCAACTTAACTAGCTATATTTTGTAGCTCACAGAACTAAGGATATTTAGCATTTCTACATTGCTACACCAGAGGAGCTTTAGACTACACTAGCTTAATATGACAACACATATAACACATTATTACAATCCTCAGTATGGAGTTGTTTTGAGGGGCCAACAGTCTCCAACAAGCAAAACACATCTCAAGTGGTAAAACATGTAAAGGCTACTTATGACACACAGGAGCACAGCGAGACCACACACAGGCCAAGTTTGCTACAGGCAGACCTAAGAACCACCAACTGAGATTAAGGTGACTGATGCACCACAAACAAACACATGCAAGGATGGCACATGACACATGTCATCCAAACTGTTGGGAGAAAGACCCTCTCCAGCCTTTTGTGTAAGTCTCTTCATCCCTCAGCAGTCAAGTTACAACTATGCAGGAGTGTTTCTGACTGTCCTTCTGAACAGGCCATCTCTCCCACTCCATGAAATCAGAGACTGAATGGTTAAAACCAGCAGATCTCCTTTGAAATTTCCTCCCTTTCAACTGTTCTTAAACCAAGTTGAGAAAGCCTTCCTTCCAACTAACTCTTCTGCTGACACCTGATTTTGAAACGTTCACTATGATTCTCATATTCAAAAGAACAAAGCCAGAATATTCTAAAGTAGGTTTTACTCCTCTCCAAATAAACTTGCAGCATATGTACTGGAGACCTTCCAAAGTGACACTCTAACTGTTATTACCACTGAGGGGGAGGGAAGGTCAACATCTCCTGTTAATGAGTCAAACAGTAGCTCGCCTTTCCTTACTCATAAAGACTATTTTAAGAAGGGAAACTCTTCTTTCAAACTGAGAGATTTCCAACGTGAAAAAAAAAAAGTATCTGCAAAATTAGTGAAGCTGCATCAGAACTTCAGTCCTTTTTCCAAAAATCTGATTATTTCTCAGTTTTTTTAAAAAATGAGGTAAAGAACTCTCCTTGCTGAGGATAAACCTAATACCCAACTGATACAGAATCAGTTTTACTCTTAATTTTTCAGTGACTCCTTTCCATGACACCCCAAAGCCAGAGTAATTCAATATCCTTACATTCCATACACAGATGGATACCATAATATGTCTCCAAGACTTCCCTCTGGTACTGCAAACACTTCTGAGATTTAAACAGCCTAAATTCAATGTTATTGATTTTAAAAAATGATCTCTGCCACTGCTCATGCTGCCTTTATTTACGTGAAAATCCTATCATTAACAAGAGTTTCAGAAATCATCTGCCTATGAGATGGTCCTCTAAAATACATTGAATTTTCTGAGACTCACAAGCTAAAGTAATCAATACTTAGCATATCAAAACATTTTTCTGAAAGACTTTACTTTGACATCGATGTGTGTTATATTTTAAAGTGTTATCATGAGAAAAAATGAAAAACAAATGCAGGTGAAAGGGAGGAGACATCAGTAGTTCTCTGAGCTACTTATGTTCATACATTCTACAGATTTAGAATTCAGGACCAAAAAGAATAAGCCTAGAGAAAAGCAGGTGTTTTGTCCTAAAAATATTTATGCTACAGGATTCTAGACAATTCCTGTGGCTGTCACCTCCTGTCACACAGCCTGTGAAGTCTCCACAAGGATTCTAACAAGATTAAAGGAAAGTTTCAGCAGGCATCCTTACCAAACATTCAATCCATTTGGACTGGCTTTATGCCAGAGTGTGTAAAAGAAACCCTGACAAAAGTCCTTCCCTGCAGCAGCAGAACACTTATTTCAACAAACTTATCCTTGACCTTTCTGCACCCTTTCCCTACTTTTTTTATCAAAAACACCACCAAACAAAAACAACAAATCAACCCAAGCATTCTGTTAATTAGGAAGGGAATCTCCTTTCCCCCACAGGATGCTACTTGCTGGTGATTCCCAGTTCCAGATGACTCATCTCTTGGTTCTGTATGACTTTAGGTGGAGGATGCTTTTCTTGCCGAGTGTAAATTTGTGTATCAATAGTCTATTTGACTCACTTCCCTTTGCTCTTGAAAGTGCTTTGAGTGTGCTTTACATCCCTGCATTAACTACTGTCACTTGGAGCCCAGAACTTTTATGGTAAAAAGGCACTACTCAGACATGATTTTCAACAGAAAGATGGAAGACAATTATATTTTATGTGCTTTTATAGCATGCTCATACTCATTTTAAAGACTAATTTGTGTTTTGAAATGACAAAATTAATACAATATTACCAACTTACAGGAGATCTCTGATTTCAAAAAGACTGTTGTGTCAGCTGGGGCTTTAATTTTTTTAAATATCCAACTGTTTTCAAATCTTTTATTGAGTTGTTTGTGTTTTCCAGTAATTTTTAAGGGCTGAATAAACCTGACTGGGTAACCAGATAATAAAGCTTTGTTCAGCAACATGGTTGTCTTCTGTACAAAATCTCACAGCCCTAATTAATGCCACTGTCACTTTTCACTTAAAATTGTAAGAGGACCTACACAATTGGTTCTTGTAGCTTGCCAACTTCCCACTGCAGCAGAAATAAATCGCTCAATGGAGCTACACTTCCACAAAGAAAACTTTTATTATAATTATGGAAATTCTACCAGCCGTAGCAATTTTTCTATTTAAACCTAATAACTGGGCTTGTTGACAGCAAAGACAAGTTTTCTACAATTAAACTGTAACAGATGGCTCTACCTTTCTTCTGTGTGAAACATTCAGCACATTTCACATTAGAAAACACAGCTTGGTTGAAATTACATACAAATGTGATGAAGAGGGATTTCAAAAAATTAGAGGAAGGTGAAAACTTAAATTTATTTTAAAATTATTGTTGCATTAAAAAATAAAATTTTACTTCCTTTTTTCCCCCCCTACAAATTTTCTGCTTTTATACCTTCTACAGTACGTTAATTCCAGAAGAGGAAATGCTTCCTATTAAATTAATTTAACTTTGTGTAAGCCTGGTGAATGTGTCTATGCTGCAAGAGAGCTCAGTGATGTCATCACTATTAACACTGGCATCTATCAGTTCCAGGATGAATTATGAATTTCCTTTTTAAAATGTAACAGTTAGCCTTTCCATCAAGAAATAATCAGGTAGTTCTGGGAAGTGTCTCTCTCTGAAATGGCATTTCATAGCTAATGAAAACTTTTTGCTTCTTCAGTTTCTTTACAGTTTGTTCACCTTGATGATTTGAATGTTAAGTCAAAAATTACCTCAATCACGAGATATTTTCAATTATAATCATATTTAAGTCATGGATGTTAATTTAATGTACATTATAATGAGAGTTTGCATTACAGTACCTTACTCTGAAGTAAAACATCTTTCATTCTTAAGACATTCCAGAGGACATGGAAGAGTAACATTTGCTGAAGTGTAAAAAGTGGGACAACCCTACAGACTAGCTAGAGAGCATCGAAACCAAACTTCAACTACACTAATTTCTAGGATTATATAAATAATTAAAATCAGGAGAGCCCAAAAGCAGAACTTTAGGACTCCCACATGCAACTTGTCTATCAAAGAACTGTGAGATCCAAGTCTGTCCCAGTCCAGCCTTATCAATAACCTGCAATGTGAGGAGCAATCAGCTCCAACTACTTGGAGCATCAACTTCATTTTCACTTGTGGCCATCTGGATATGCAGAGTAATATCAGCTTTGGGAGCACAAATGCTGGTTGTATCACCAAGGAACACAACATGCTGTCATTTCTTTTTCCATTTCTATTTAAGGAATTTGCTCCCTCCACACACAATCCTATGAATTGAGTGCCAACAGCATGCCTAAGGAAAAAAAAAAACACCAAACTAAGTTAAAAATACACTAACCTGATTTGACTGCCCAGAAAGGTAAGGTTCAAAATCGTTGTCATGAACTGTGTCCTTCTGATGTAACGAACCATTTTGTACTACAAGAAAAGGGTTACAACAGATTATAACACCATGAGCAGCATTTCAGGAATGACTTCCACCCTATGCTGCTTTATGAAAAGCCATATTTCTTCTTCAAAGCGTGAAAGACTCATAAAAAGATCAGGGGATGACACTTTTTCCCCCAAAGCTCTTTACAGTACTGCTTATAAAACTAAGTTTGAGTAAATTAAAAAAAAAAAAAATTCTATAGTTGAGAGCGAGCAGAAAACTCATGTGAATTAACTCTGAACAAAAAGTAATTATTAAGAAGAATTTAGTGAAAAATATTGGGAAACAACATCTATTGTTCTGGTCCATAATTAGAACACTCAAACTCACAGTTCTCCCAGCGTGTTATTCACTGCTTAAGCTGGTTAAAATAAGATGATGTGAGGTTACATTTAATTATGAAATGATGACTGGTAAGTGCTTTGGTATCCTGATATTTTCAGGAAAACTTAAGTTTCAACGTTCTCATCTGTAAAACAGAGATATCTGCCATAATCAAAGTCCTACTTCAGCATAAATAAATGTCTGAAGAAAAGCATTCAAAACCCATTACTGAAAGATATACAAACCCAAAACTGCTATTAGGTCCCTCCAAATTACTTCCTGTGTTTGCTTTAAATTTAAGAAAACAAGGTCAAATCCATTGTATGATAGTTGCTGTATCTACCTATTTCATAGAACAGCAGAACTAAATACAACACTACACCAAATAGGACTTTTAGAAAAAAAGTTTAGGAATTTATCAAAATATTTCTGCAAAGTTTTTAAAGGAGAGTAGAGGTAAAAGAGTGTTTACAAACACAGCAAACAGTGTCAAACTTTCTGCAACTGGAAGTAGATGAACTTTTAAGGCAGGTTAAGATCTATTAAAATGCATTTATGAGTTGAATATTACCAGTTTCTAAGCCTGAACAGTTACACACTTATTAGCAATCACAGGAGCAATCAAGGTATTTCCTCAGATGGCTTGTTATTAAATTTAACTTCAAATAAAGCACAGGAGTTATGAGCTTAAAACTACCTTTTATTTAAAATTCCTTAAATTATTAAGTTTGTAGGCTTATGCCAATACCTCAGCCAACAGCAGAGCAGCAACACAACTGCATTCACAGAGCAGGAAGAGAGTGTGCAAAAGTATGTAAAAATACATATTGTACAGAGACATCCTTGTGACTTTACGTAGGAACCTGCTTTACCTTCAGGAAATAAGGAGCATTGTTTAGTATCAACACACAGTCCTTCCCCCTGCAAACTCAGCAGCGTTAAGTGGGATGCAAGCAAGCTTGGATGAATGGCAGTTTACCTTATTTTGGAAACAAAGCACATATTCCCTCATTCCCAAATGTTTTCCATACAGGTTAAGAGAGGCACATTTCTGCTTCCCAACAGGTACCTGTGTAATTAACCTATGACAGTAACAATTTAAGCGACCAGATCTCGGCACGATCCTCACCTTTATTATCCTGTCCCTTCGGTCTCTGGGAAGCCACGGCACATGATTAAGGGGGAGGGGGGAGGGAAGGGAAATAAAAAAAAAAAGTTAATTTTAGAAATATTGTCATATTGTCACTGCAAAACACGCGCACAGCGCCGAGGACAGAGAAGAGGCTCATAAAAATTGCCAACAACATCTCGGGGTTTGTTGGAGCCGGGGCTGGAGCAGCGTGTTCCACGTATCACCCAGCACCGGCCTTCCTGAGAAATGGCCCCGGCTCTGGGGAGGCGGCGGGACCGCACCGTGCCCTCGGGGGAAGCTGAGAACCACCGAGCTCCAGAGCAGCCCGGAGGGGGAAGAAAAGCCTCCCGGGGCCTCCCAGCCGCCGCAGGCCCGGGAACCCCCCGGCCTGCCGCTCACTCACCTGAGGGTCAACGCTTGTGGCAGACATAATTCATGTACAGGGCCGCCGTGGTTCAGCAGAGAGAGCGCCGGGGAGGGGGGCGAGGCAGGGCCGCGGGGCTGCGGGGCCTGGCGGGGCCGAGGGGCGGCGGCGGCGCCTCCTCTCCCCTCAGGCGGCGGCCGGGCGGGGAAGGGGCCGGGGCCGAGGGGGAGGGAAAGGGGCCGCCTGGCGCCTGCTCGGGGCGGCTCCTCGGGGGTCGCGGCGGTGCGGGGCGGCGGTGCCGCGGCTCGGCGGTGCTGGGCGGTGCCGCCCCGTGTCTCACATGCCCGCGGGCCGGGCCTGGGGCCGCTCCGAGCGGGGGCAGCGGCGGCCGCCGACTCCAATGGCGGCGGGCGCCGGGCTGCGGTGACGTCAGCGCCGAGCGCGCGCGGGGCGCGCCGGGAGCGCACGGACGGCGATGGCGGGGGAAGGCGCGCGCGGGGCGGCGGCGCCTCTGCGCGTGCGCGGGGCGGAGGGCGCTGAGGGGGACGGGGGCGATGAGGGAGGTGAGGGGATGAGAGGATGAGATGACTGAAGGGGATGAGGGAATGAGAGGACTGAGGGG